TCCACTGACTGTGCACCTGCACCCACACCAAGTCACAGGTACAATACGTTATACAATCTGTACAACTCTTTGTATTCTTTAAATCTCACTACAGTTACGCAGAATTACTACTTTTATCTTTGACACTAGTAAAATTTAATGATAATACTTAAATTATTTTACTTTTAGTAGGGTTTCTAATGCAGGACTTTTACGTAGTTGAGTGTTTTCACAGTGTGGTACTGTACTTAAACCTACCACAAGTATGTAGGCCTCTATATGACCTACATAAGCATACAGAGGCTCGCACAATCATCAAAAAATGAAAGTTTCTTGTTGCTGCTTTACGTGAAGGATCTGAGTGCTTCTTCCATCACTGCTTCTATTGTTAACAAATGCATTCAAATCCTATTTCTCTCATCACATTTAACCAATCAGCCGTCTTTATTCCTTGTGCAGGTTTGCTGACATACTACAAACACTTGGCCGGTCTGTAACCTTTTTAGGAAAGCGTTCTGACATCGCACTGGATCTGTCCAATCAGCAGTGGCACAGCTGTGACAAAGAGGTGAGACTCAGGGTCTGTCTGGTGCCTCCTGACCTTTATCTGATGAAACACTTAACCACAAAATATGTATTCATCTGTTGTGGTGCAAGTCCTTATAAAGGGTCGCTGGTTTACCTGTTTGTTAGATATTAGAATCCGTGTCTCCATTCGGTTGTGAATTTCTTCAGGTATCTGGTTTTGATGAAAAATCTTTAGTGGCATTTATGCCTAATTTGACAATGAACAGTGGACTGACAAAGAGAGGAAAGATGAAGTTGCTCTTTTTGTTCATGAGATTATTATTGATTATATTAGAGGAGAATATATATGTTTCTGTTTGTTGTATATTTACTTTTTCCTTTTCTTTTCCTCTCCCTATGTTCCTTTATCCGATCTCCGTCAGGTGTTGGCCTCTTTCAGGAGACAGACCAAGTGTCCTTTCCTCTCAGTGCTCCAGTTTTCTTCCTTCTCAGACCATCTGAAGAAGTGCCTCCCTCACCAGGAGCAGCTGTACCAGAGAGTGAGGCATCTCTTCAGAACACGATCAATTTAAAGTGTCTTGGCGTGATTTTAACGTACTGCTTAATGTGTGTTTGTTCTGCAGGTGTGTACAAACCTTCGAGATATGTGTGTAGTGTTTGCCGGGCCGTTTCCTGCAGGTTTCTCTGAGAGGGAAGTGAGGCAGCTATTTCGTTGCTGCGGACCGGTTGGGAAAATCAAAATGTTGAATTCCACTATCAGGGTATATCTCACCCACATTATGATCCTTTATTTTAATGTCACTGATTAACACATCGACAGCCGAATACTAAAGATATGGTGATAATTACTGCTACAACTGAAACGTGAGGGCCTTTCTTTGGATGTGATTTACTGATCTTATTAGATCATATTTTCTGTTTGTTCCCTAGGTTCATGCAGAGGTAGAGTTTGAGCTGCTAGAGGGAGCTATGTTGGCTTTAAAAACTCTGAATGGACTATATATGCAGGGACAGTCCATCAAGGTAACTCTCTTCCCCTTTTTCTTTTTCTTTTTGTTAAAGTTAAGTGGAAACTTTTGTAGACCGCTGTATCTCCAATATGTTTGCTTGTGTGTGCCCTTTCAAGGTCCAGAGGCCTGTCAATGAGTCGATGCTGGACTTGGATTTGACTCTTGATGCTTTGATGGGTGACAGTCTCAACAGCAGTCACCTCTACGCTGTTAAATTAAACCCCAGTATGGCTGAGTGCATACCAATTCCTGCAAAGGTCAACGGACACACATTGGATTCAAAAAGGCGAACAGTGCACAGCTTAAAAGTAAATGGCACACGGTTGCAGCCCACCACTTCAAAGTCTAAACTGTCTGAGGAGACAGTCAGGGAGACATTTGCTCGCTTTGGCATGGTGGAGAGAATTGTCCTGCCTGCCAAACCTGGAAAACGTGCAAGACATGCACACATAAGTGAGTTAAAGGCTGTATTGTTGATTATCCCTTGTTGTCCTGTTTGTGTGGGAGTTCATACAGAGTTTCTGTGTTGACAGAGTTTGAGAGATCGGAGCACAAACACGTAGCCGTCAGCTCAACTGAGGACCTGTGGAAAGAAAACTACCTCGTCTGTCCATCCGTAACTCCACCCCACTTACCTTCATGGGTTGCCATGACAACGCCAATCACCACTGTGGATCCTGATAGGGGAGCAGCTGAGGATGAGGAGAGGACCTACATGCACACCAGTTCTCAGGTAAAGTGAAGAGGCCAGGTGCATAAAACTGTGTAGATTTGGACAAAACTGTGTGTATGCACAAATACAAAGAGAGCCACGCGTGCACAGAATCATTCATTTGCACATCGATAACTGACTGTGTTGCATCAGCGAGGTTTTCCAACACAACAGCTGCCATTACATGCAGCTGTGGTTGTTTGTAGCGCCCGCACCACTCACATGTCGCGGTAATATTTCAATCATCATTATCAAACATCAGAAAAATAATAAAGTTTTTGGGCGTACACAACGTTGATACATCTGGCCCCTGGTTGTAGTGACTCCAGTTGGTTGTCACCCCATCCTAAAGCCACAGCACTTTTATATGACTATAGCACGTTTCAAATTATTCTGATGACACAACTGTTTGTTTTTCTTTGTTTAAAAATTAGTCAGTCCCAGTGAAAATGAGTCCCATCTATTTGTCGTTCTCAGCCAATCCTTGCTTTTCTGTCTTTTTCTGCAGAAAGCCGAAACACTACACACTAGTATTAAACATGCTATGATAAAATTCATCTTGTTAGCATGCTCTGCTGGCTTTAAGTTTAAAGTACAGCCTGATGAAAGTTAAGTAAAGTCTGACTGTAGAGCTGAGTATGATTTATATAATGGCCATCCCGTGATCTGAAGAATAATTCTCTCCTTTTTTCATCCATCCAGAAATGTTCTTCTTAGTTCTTAGTTCTTGTGAGCGTAATAGCCACATGGGGCTACTAGTGTACCTATTATTATAGTCTTGTACACTTGGTAGCTTTTTGCTCTGTTCTTTTAAACAGTTGCGTGTGAAAACCCAAGAACGACAGCTGTTTGGGAGCTTCACAGTCCGCTGATTGTTTTCTCAGCTGGCAGTTTCGGTTAACTCTCACAATATTTTCTCCAGACTAAAATCTCAGTGAAAGCGCAGCTTTTTAGATTTAAGCTGGCTTAGTGGGGCTAATTTTTCTTCCTTGATGTCAACTTTGTCCTGGTAACTGTATACACACATAGCAAAGTTATGATGGAACTCAAGCAGTTTGTGAGAAAGCTATAAAGTGCATGAGTTATTAGTACCATTTGTGATTAGATTTTACAGACCGGTACAGTTTATTTATTAAACACATGTAATAAAGACGCTATGTAATGTGTGTAGGACCAGGAAATGGTTGTCATGATGAGGAAGTTGGACTGTCGCCTGCAGAAGCTCTTCAGATCTCTCCCTGGCGGCACCTTGTCAGTGGTTGTTCTGCTCGGACACACCAGGTGAGGACTCTGTGACCGTGTCTGGGAAAAGTCTGCTACCAAGTTACACATTTCTAAACCTTCTCTTCTCTTCCCTAGCGCTCGTGGCCACATTCCTGGTTTGTGCCTTATGGAGGTCAAGGAAGGTTCTTGAGGAGAACAGTGATCTGGTCCTCTATGGGAAGGATTATAAACCTGCAATATCAACATATCTCCATGTCCAGTGATGCCTGCGCTTGTGTGTCTCTTCAACCAAGTGACATCAATGAAGATGAAAACATAAATCAAATAATTAAAAAGTGCCTCAGACTTCCAGTACCTCAATACTTGTTTATTTTTTCCAGAGTTTTATGTGTGCATGATACACTTTTGTTTCACAAATGTGTATATAAAAGATTAAGTCAAATCCGATACTTGTAAAATTATGTTTGTGGCCTGGAAATAATCAAAGCTACAAAAACATCTGACTGCATCTCACTAAAATGCATGATGGTTGTTGGAATTTTTGGTTTTACTTGTCTGTTAATGGTTTGTTGAGTGCAATCATGGTCGTCACTCTGTAACACATACTGAAGTGTAGTTTGCAAGTCTTTGAGATACAATTTGTTCTCCTGGAAGAAAGTTAGTTTCACAAGGTGACTGAACCCTGAGCCAGACCATATCAAACATCATGCTGAGTGAACGTATAATGTTAAAATGATCAGTTTAAACAAAGATGATTAACTTTTGATACTGTACATTAAAATCGTTTTGTCAAACTGTCTTGTCATTGACTTTCATTAAGAACAAATTTAAAAAAGCCTCTCACATTTTGATTAGTCATAGTAGAAAAAGCACAGGTGTTGCATTAATGATAGCTCTGTTATTTAAGTGTCCCAGTGAGCCAGTATGCACAGTGCCAGGATCCTACAACTGAAGCAGCTAATTGGAATTCATCCATCATTAAATTTTATTCTTCACACTGCTTCTCCTGTGACATGTCCCAATGTCCTTTGAAATGTAAATTTTAATAACAATGTAACCGTTACTAAAATGCTTTAGGGATTTTTGTTGGTTTGTGGCCGACCAATCAGAGCTGTCCTGTCCTGCCATTTCAAGCAGGATGGAGATTACTGAATTATTTCACTTGAATACATGTTATTCATTTATAGCTCAATATTTAAATATAAATGTGTCAATTAGCGTTAAAATACTGCGGTCATCACCATTTCAGAAGGATCCTATCACACTGCTTTCCAGTGAGCCCTGGTTACTTATTAAAAATCAATATGTGCAGAGTAAATTATTTTTTTTAAAACACAGTGGGAGACAAATGTGTTTGAGATTTATTAACCACCTTATATTATCATTTTACCAGAAAGTTAAGATCTATAAATAAGAACATGAAAGTAAAAGTATTTAAATGTTAAAACACACCTGCGATGTACAGGGGCAACGACTACAACGTGAAGAATGTCCCTAAAGTCAACTGGGGCGAGTTTGAGAACAGAAAAGACGGAAAAACACGGAGATACTAAGAAACATTCTTTAATTGTTTCCCTTTCCAAGGAAATATTTAAGGATTTTTTTAAACAGATCTTATACAAAAACGTATACGTCATCTTAACGTTTACACCTTTTGCATTTTAAACACACTTTTGACATTGTTGCAGGTTGACAGTTACAAAACATTAAACACAAAAAAGGTAAAGAAAACAACTCTGTACAAAAAAAACAAGCACCTCTCATTAAGGATCGAAATGCCACCAATAATAAACATCACATTATCATTGATAAGCTTATATGTTTGATAAAACTGGGGAAGTTGACAGAATGATTTCTTTTTTTTTTTTTTTCTTAAAATGGCAAAATACATTTGACTGCATTAAAATACTAAATAACCCAGACATTGTAAACTACAGGTCCTGTCAAGTGGCATTTTATCTCACAAATTATGAAACGGATTCACAGAGATACGAAGACTGGAGAAAATGTAATCTCCCTCACATGCACAAACACACACACTCAAAATATAAGACTGTTTGGAGGTGACCGTCATTAAAACTGATGAATGATTTCAGTGATAGCATGGCTGTGGTAGCAGATTCCAGTCTGAACACATGAGAGAATAAAATAATATTTCTGGAGTTTAGATTTTAAGATTCTAGTGTGTGTGCGTGTTTACCCGGAAGAGTTGCCTGCTCCTCTGGTACAAGATCAAAATATGGCAGCTGTCGTTATGGCTTGTGTCCTCTCTTTCAATAGTCCAGTCAAGTAGCTTGGCTGGTAGCGCTGGACACGTTATCCACAGCTGTTGAGTGAACGAATGAATTTAGGGCGTGCACCACTCCCAGTGATACATCTTTACTGGAGAGCGCCCGAAGCGCTTACGAAGAGACTCCGCTCAGTGTGGGACAGTGGCCTCTCCACTCCTCACCTCTCGCTACCAGACCTCTGGGACCTCAAACAGTGACGTTTTAGATCCAGAATCTGCACGAGAGGGACAGACGAAGACCGATGAGAAAAGGAACTACATGTACAGAACCTTGCAAGTTATACAGAAATCTTGCCAACTGGTACATTTAACCTTTTGTTTTGTCCTCAGTTTCATTCTCTTTGTTTTGGCACAATTACATGTCGGATAACGCTTGTTTTTCAGGATAAGTTAGACTACTCTCTCAGAAATGCCGTCATTTTAAGACAAGCTTATTTCTACAGCACATTTAAACAACTTTAAAAAAACAAAAAAACAATTCTCTACTTCTCTCTTTCCTTTCTATGTAATGTTACTTAGAAACAGGGAAGACGTGCAGTTAACAGCTCCTCCAACAGTAGTGGAAAACTTTCAAAAACTGAATATGAAACAAGCCTTTACTTCACAAAGTGCTGCTGTCTGGCAGGTTTATACATTTTTTACTAAGATAACTGGTCTGTGATGATTAAATGCAACTCTTCAGTGATTATAGTAGCTAGAAAGCACGGTAGTATTACACAGTATATCACCTGAGATGTGGCAGACAGTAAAGTGGTCCATTTCTCTATTCCTCATTTCTGGCCATTGTTGTAACAAATGTCCAACTGATATGCAAAATTTAAACAGCACTAAGCTCGGCATCCATATATGGTTCATTAACTGGGAGCCACTGACATTAATCCAACTACTCATGCAGCTGTCAGAGTCACTACGACTTGCCACTGCAGTAAACGATCACCAGATACGTGTATACATATTCTAGGACAGCCAAAAAAAAAAAAAAAAAGTGATTTGTGAACTGTTAAACTATCAAACTGTCTCACTGTCAACACATCAAATATCTGTAGGCTGTAGGAATGTATAGACAGGAGTGTCAACGCTGCTTCAATATATGAACCACGCTGATGGGACAAAAGAATAAAGCTACCTTACCTAACACTGACATATCATAAGCTTATAGGTTGATTTGGTGAACATGTTATGGAGCAACATCAACATGGCCACCTGGTGAGTTTAAGTTTTTGGTCTCTACCAACTCCTGAGGGAAATATCTGGCTGTGTAGCAGCTAAAACCTTCACCATGTTCACCGGGTAGTTACAAACTGTTAGTAAGACAATCCAAACAGGAAGTGAGGTAGCTGTAAGCTTTGCCTTAGCCCTGTTGATTATATCTGCATTATGGCAAGTCATGCTGCATTAACTACTAGCAGTCCCTGTTTGCACTACATTATTTAAACATGTCTGTACAGATAAATCGAAGGATTACTTCTGATACTGAAGAAGACCTCTGAAGTTATAAAAAGGAGCACTTAGAAACTGAACTGTCTCAGGCAGATTCAAAAGGGTTAATAAGCTGACAAACACACCTTTAGACTTCTTTTTCTTGTTCTTTTGACCTTTCCTCGTGGCTTGTTGCCAGGTGACTGTCCCTTCAGCATCATTGGCTGGATTTGTGCCCTCAGAACTTTCCTCTTCCTCCTCCTCCTCCTCATCAGGGATCGGACTTAACCCTGCAGAATCTGATGAATCTCTGCAGAACACAGAAACCTTTAAGATACTTAAAATCACAGCCAACAGGATAACTGACAGTTTAAATGATCACTACCATTTTACTTACGCCGTCTTTAACCATCCTTCTGAGGTCTTGCTCTCGACAGCTTCTGCATTTGCCTGTCCACTTATGTCTAGGAAACACAACGACAACCAGTGCATGAGAGCTTAAAAGTGACATATGGGCAAAAAAAAAAAAAATGCTTCCAACACAGGACCAATAGCTGGTAATTGATGAAGGATAATGATGTAAAACCGACAACAAAAAGCACAACTTTATAAAAAGTGTGATGATTTAAGACTCAAAACTAAGACTTTGGAATGGAATGAATTCACCAAATTGATTTTTGTTGAAGGGTTTTCACGGTTAAATGAGGTTAAATATATGCAACACTGAAATCACTGTTTTCTCTGTGCTTCTTTCACTAAAATGGAAAAAAAGTGTTTGAAAACAATGTTGTCAATCAGGAATGCATCTGATCTGTCCATTCCAGCAGATGGGCATTAATAAAATATCAAATCTGATGTTAAACAAATTACCCAGCCTTCCTGGATTTAGTTAATTGGTTGTGATGAATTCACAATACCACCTGCTCTCTTCCTCAGGGCACACTGAATCTCTAATAGAGTACTTTTCCATGGAAAACCTGCTGCATGTTACCACACTGCAGCAAGAAGATGCTAATGCACGCATGCGTTTACACACCATCAGTTTTCATCTTCTTGCTGCCTGTGCTATCCGGATAGGAGTAGTGACTCCAGCCATCTGTAGTAAGAGCCTCTCCGGTCCCCTGCTCTCCCTGAACGGGACTGATGCTGCGTTTCCTCAAACCCCTGGAACAGAAATAGGCCAAACATACCATCAATATAAATAGAAAGTGTGCAGACCTACAGTATGTTGAAAGCACAGTGTATTTTAGCACAAGTATACCTTGGATATCCAAAACTTCCAGAAGTAGTGGAGGAGGTGTAGTGAGATTTGACCCAGCCATCGTCTCCCCAGGTTTTGGCTGTCTGGCCGAGCTTCTCCTTGTCCTGCTGCTTACCCTGGATGTACTCTGCATATGTCTGGATCCTGTAACTCTCTGCATAGCGGCTGGTGTTCATAGCTGCGTGAGGAGTGGAAGACATTAAACCCGTGGTTTTTTTGTGCAGATGATAGAGCCCAGGCTTGTGCGTGTATTCAGCTGCTGTGTCAAACTCACCTATCTGCACCTGGTCTGTTTGACTTAGAGACACAAATGCTGATGTGTCGTCTATCCATGAAACCTGGATGTTTCCTGAGTGGATAATAGAAGTAGGAAAGAGTGATATACAACAGGTCATACCAGTGTGCAAGCAGACTTATCAGGCAAGATCATGTCTTACCAAAGGCACTAAACAGCTGGTAGAGGTCACTAGTCTTCCATTCTTTTGGGAAGGTGACGTACAGGACATGGTCTCTTTTAGGTTGCACTGTATGAACAGAAGAGACAAGCAGAAAACGGAGCAACAGGTCAGGTGGAGAAGCGGCAACAGAAGCTGTAATTTACAAGATGTTAATTAATGAATATTTCACATTAACACAGAATCAAAAGCAAAGCCAAAGATGAAGTTAACAAGCAGCTGTTTGAGAAATGACAGCACCTGGCAGGCTAAGATACAGAGCTAAGTTGATATTCTATCAGGCCTGTGACTTTTTTTGGTGTTTTTTAGCCCCCTAGTGGTCCAAACTCATCAACTACAGCTTTAAAAAAAATAAATAAACCTTTATATGTGGCAATATTTCCAAGCATGTAGTCAATGCAATAATCCTGACATGTATTCCTGCTGCTTATCTTACTCACAATCTGGTCCTGTGATGTTGAGGTAGGGGATATCTATTATCCTCATCAGGAAAAGCCTGGAGAACAGAGAAGATAAGCATTATTAATTTTTTGGAAGATTTCTAGAAATCAAAGAGTAGCAAATAGTAAATTTAAGTGCTTCTCTTACTTGTTGAAGAATGGCTCGATGAGTTTGGAGCGAGCCGAGATGTATGCTTTGGGTGGAGTCAAGAAAGAGCCTGTAAAGACAGTGTTTAAGTTAAACAAAACGTATTTGGAAATTCTCCTAATTTGCAAACAGAATAAGTGTGATTCTGTGTTACCCAGGTAGTTGGCCATGGAGATGAAACAGAGGCCAGTGATGTAGGCATCGTACCCAGCCTCGTGGAGCTGTTCCTGGGCTGTGTCGTAACTGTGGAACCCCTCTGCCGTTTCTGACAGGAACAGCACAAAGAAGAAAAAGTGTCAGCAGGAATTTGCAGGTTGAGAGAGGTTCAGACAAATGTTGGTGCATTTACTCACCAACTTGTGGTGACTTGAAGGGGCTCTCCTTCAGCTGTTTCTCCAACTCTGCCAGAGAGGTGTTAGTAATCATCTCCTGAAACATAAAAAAAAACAAAACGCCATCAGCACCCATCTGTTTATCTACACGTTGGTGAGAGATCTGCTCCAGAGAATTATTATACATTTCAGTTTAAGCACTTTTTTGCTTTCACTTGAACTATGTGTAACAATGTGACCAGAGCATCAAGGAAAGTCTGCTTTTTCAACCTGGAAAGACTGACTAATGATTATTTTAATCATGATCAAATTTTCCTTATCTGGTATTCTAGCACTGAAGATCATTTACCTTAAAAGGCTGAGTGGTAGCCATCAACTTTGTGTCCAGAAGTCTGCAAATGGATACAAAACCAATACATTTTTATTTATTTTTTTAAAACCCACAGAAATCTCAAAGCATCTGCTGTGAAGGCAATTAAACAACTTTAGTACGAGAAGAATATTACCTTGGGAAAACGCACATTGTGACCTCTTTAAAGTCTTGAAGATCCTGCAAAAAAAGTATTGGCACAAATAATTCATAATATCATTACTTAGATATAAACTGCCATTTAATGCAGCCAAAAAGGCTCCGTATTTAAAATATTCATCTTGAGTTAAGTACCTCAGGCAGAGGGCAGTAAAACTGGTGGATGGTGTGCATCACATCCAACAGCATGTTGTGGCCAACCACAAGTTTACCCTGTGTGTCAGATGAATTGAGTTAGAGGTACAGGTAAGAGTTTTCAAAGCAAAAAATATTTAAAAAACAAACAGATAAACTTGAAATTAGAGTATTAATGGACTCACAGATTTAGAGATGGCATGGATGACCCTGGAGAAGCCAACAGCATCATTCAGCTCCTCCTGTTGGGGCAAAAATATTAGATATGATCAAAAACTACTACTCTTTAAAATCAAAGACAAATGTACATTTTCCTACATTTCAATACACTCCTCCATGATTATAGTCGATATACAATTTAATATACATTTTAAACCCAAACTCACCTGCTCTCTCTCCAGTTTCTGCTGTTCCCTCCTCTTCCTCTCCTCGTCATCTACTTTGCTGACCTGGATGTATCGCTCCTTCTACACCCATACAGAACTTGCATAAATATTTTATATATTCCACACAAAAACAAAAGGCATAAATTGGCTGAAATAACGCTTGTTCTTACCTTTTCTGTTTCGATGGTTTCCACGTGAAGCCCCTTGGGAAATCTGTTAAAGAACGACAAATCTTAAACCTCTACAAACCCACACGAAAAACAACAACAGTAGCAAAGTAGAGAGTGACACTCACTTCCAGTTCAGCGTCTGGTAGATCAGCTTTCTCTGAAACCT